TTATCATCTAAGAGCTGGGAGGGACCTGGTTGGCAATCCTGCCTCTTTCACATTACAGACAAGGAAACAGGCCCAGGCAGTTGCCAGTTGCCCAGTCATTCTAATGAAAGGCAGTAGGACAAAAGTTAAAAGCCCAGAGGTTAAGAGCATAAGAAGCAGACCAAGTTCAAATCCTGGCTTTGCCTCCCACTAGCTATAAAACCTCTGTGCCTGAGTTACTGATTTGTGGAAAAGGGAAATCATCATATCTATAACTATTGAATGAGTTACTACATGTAAGGCACATAGCATTAGTGCTCAACAAATAGATAGTATTGTTAAGAGTTGGCTAATTTGTGTCCAGCCTGGATTCCAACCCAGCATCCTTGACTCCCAGTCTGATGTTCTTTCCAGTATCCCATGATGGACACAGGAGGCGGTGAGGAGGAGCTGAGGCACGAAAGTGGGAGAGCACCAGGTCTATCTAGAACAGTGGTTCTCAACCTTCCTAATGCCACGACCCTTTAATACAGTTCATGTTGTGGTGACCCCCAACCATAAAATTATTTTCGTTGCTATTTCATAACTGTAATGTTGCTACTGTTATGAATCGTAATGTAAATATCTGATATGCAGGATGTATTTTCATTGTTACAAATTGAACATCATTAAAGCATAGTGATTCATCACAAAAACAGTATGTAATTATATATGTGTTTTCCGATGGTCTTAGGCGACCCCTGTGAAAGGGTCGTTCGACCCCCAAAGGGGTCGCAACCCACAGGTTGAGAACCACTTATCTAGAACATGAGGGAGCCCAGTTTAACAAGATTGTTTGAACAGAGAGATGATATTGACAAAGCAAGGAAGGTCTGGTTGTGGTGGCAGTGTCACAGACAGACACATGGTCCCTCGAAAACCCATTTCTACTCTTTAACTGTGATCCTGGGCAAGTTACCCTCTTCTGGTCTATCTCATCTACAAGTAAGGACAGTAAGCATACCTTGCTCATAAGCTTGAGCATTAAATGGGATAATGTATGCAAAGTATGAGGACCAAGAAATGGGGCAGATGTCATTGTTTTTTTGACTGTTGTTATTGGGGTCTTCAAGATACGTGCTCCCTTGTGGTGAATCTGACACCAGTTTTGATTTGTCTCAAGATCTGTCACTCAAGCAGTAGATGCTTTTGTACCACACGTCAGTAACGTACATGGAACACACGGTGATGTTCCATTTGCATTCCTCTTGCTGGCCCCCCAGCACCTTTACTCCCCTCTGTTAATGCAGTAAAATATCACGTATTCACATCTGTAACGAAATGTGTAGAATTGTTTAGCATTTGTCTTTTCCTCTAGCCTGTGAGCACCATGTGGGTAGGACTGGATCTGTCTTGTTCCTTGCAACCTTGGCATTTAGTACAGGGTTTGGCATGCATCCATCCAACAAATACTTTTTATTTGTATGTTCTAGGTAGTATACTAAGTGTGGTGCATGTGTGTGCATGCACATAAAATACACTGAAATAGCCCACAAATGATTGCTCAGCCTGAATTAGTAAAAACCCTGAATTTTTCCCATACTTTTCAAGGGCCTAAACAGAAACAAATTTGAGCTGAATAAAGCAGTTTAGATAGGTTCTTTTCAGGGCCTGTTTAATTATTAGGTAGGTATTATTTTCACTTAAAATGGTTGTCCATATTCATTCATTAAACATACATTTATGAGCACCTCCTATGTTCCAGGGAATATAGCAGAACAAAATAGACCAAAAACAAACAAACAAAAAACATAATAAAAACCTGCCCTTGTAGAGCTTGCATCCTATTAGGGGAGACAACTAAGTGAAATAAATCAAATGTTCGTGTACATAAACTGAGGGAGAGGGACAGGGAGAGGAAAGGTTGCCTCACTGCTTGCCACAGGGATTAGAGCTGGGAGGTGAGAGATGGCCTGGAGGCTGGGCTTCTTCTATGGTAAGGGTCTTAACAGATCATGCGAAGTCCTGGGGTTCCCACCTTATGCTTGCCACTGGTGTTGTATGGCTCAAACCGTGAGTGTTGGTGTAGAACCCATGCCCCTTGGGTGTTGAAATGGACTTTGTATAAAAGGGAAAGCATAGATCTAGTCATTAGGAGTTGTTCCACTTTACAGTTCCATTGTTCTGTATAGATTCTAACCTGGAACCATCTTATAGCTCCTAAAATAAGGTCTAATTGATGGTACCAGGCAGATTTCCATCATGATTAAGAACAAAGACTTTGAATCAGACCTTGATTCAAAAGGCAGATCTAGCTGTGTGTCCTTGGGCAGGTTACAAAACCTCTCTGTGCCTTAGTTTTCCATATCTATAAAATAAGGAATCATCAATCCTACTTCATAGTATTGTTATAAGGATTAAATGAGATAAAGCATGTAAAATACAGGGCCTAGAACAGTGATGGCGAACCTATGACACGCGTGTCAGAGGTGACACGCAAACTCATTTTTTTGGTTGATTTTTCTTTGTTAAATGGCATTTAAATATATAAAATAAATATCAAAAATATAAATCTTTGTTTTACTATGGTTGCAAATATCAAAAAATTTCTATATGTGACACGGCACCAGAGTTAAGTTAGGGTTTTTCAAAATGCTGACACGCCGAGCTCAGAAGGTTCGCCATCACTGTTCTAGAGGCAGGAATGGACTCCAGAGCAGTTTAAACCCTTCCCACCTACTGCCTCAAGCTGTCCCTTCACTATATCAGGTGACCAAGCCTCAAGGTTCCCACTCCCCTCTGTTAAGATGTGTATGTGTTTGCATGGGGTGTGATTGTTGTTTCTAAGTCTCCAGTCCTAATGAGATTGCCTTATATGGAAACTTAAGGGAAAATGTAGTTCTCAACTATGAGGGAACCAATCAGAATCCAGGGAGGGGCCTTCGTTAATGCTTGATTTAAATATAATGCCAGAGACCCAAACCGTGGGTCAGAGACTATAATAAGCTCCCGTTTTTCTGTTTAAATGGTTTTTGGTTGTTTTTTCCTTTTAATCTCAAGTTCAATTCTGACTGATCAATTGTTTTGCTGTTCTCTTAAATGGTTCTGTGAAAAGAAGTATTTTTGGTTCGGCTGGTGGGTTGATTTAGCAAGGTTTGAAAGAGAGCTCGATATCTTAGGTTTTCTATCTGGAATTTGATGGTACTGTGAGTGCACTGAGCAGGCAGGAAAGAGAAAGTTTTGGAGGACAAGTTAACTCAGTAACCTGCAGGCTGCTGTTTGTATCACAATTTTAGGCTGAACCAAACACTTACTAAGTAGGCCATACTTGGTCACCATTGTTGGGGGTCCAAAATAATAAAATATTGGTAAAGATGTGTAGCTTGACATCATATATGCTAAACACTCAGAAGGCAAAGAATTCATTAATTTAGCTGGCTTTGGTTCCAATCAAGCAACAAATATTTATTGAACATTTGTGAGTAAAACTCTCAGTACAAAGACAAGAAAAACCAAAATCCTGCCTCTAAGTTCACATCCTAGTTGTGGTAAGACAAACCTGTGGGTTATTAAATAATAAGGCGAGAGTCCCTGAGCACATGCTAGATGAATGAGCCAGACCAAGCATGATGGGGCTTCAGAGAAAGATCATTTGGGGCTAAAATAATATGTAAAAGATGAGGCATTTGAATCAGTGAGGAAGAATGATCAAGCAGAGCTTAGACATGGGATAACAAGATATATTCTGTACATTCAATTTGAACCAGAGAAGTTCAAAATCAAGGTAATGCAGCTTATGACAGGCTCAATATCAAACTGTAGAGCTGTCTTTTATTCCTGTAAGTGGAAATTAGCTGAAGCAATAAAGACATGGTAAGTGCCTGGCTGGGTATTGGAGCAAACGAACAACATACAGGGTGGGGCAAAAGTAGGTCTCAGTTTATTCTAGTTTTTTTTGTGTAGGTTTTTTTTTTTAAATCTCACCCCAGGACATTCTTGGAGAGAAAGAAACATTGATCGCTTGCCTTCCATATGTGCCCTGACCCAAACCCACAACCTTTCAGTGCACAGGATAATGCTCAACCAACTGAGCCACTCCAGGCAGGCTATTCTTATTTATTGTATTTTTCATACAAACAACTGTAAACCTACTTTTGCCCGATCCTGTATACAAAGGACTTTGTAGCCACAGTTCAGTAACTTGCCCTAGGTCACACACTAGTAAATGACAGCAAAGCCCCATTATTAAACACAACAATCCAGGAAATATAAAAAACGTATGTCCATACAAAAACTTGTACATGAATGTTCATAATAGCCAAAAGGTAAAAACAACCCAAATGTCTATAAACGAATGAACTGGTAAAGAGAATGTGGTATGTCCATACAATGAAATATTATTCAGCTGTTAATAGGAATGAAGTACTGATACATGCTATAGCCTGGCTGAACCTTGAAAACATGATGCTAAATAAAAGAAATCAGACACAAAGGACCACATATTCTATGGTTCCATTTATAGGTAATTTCATAGAACCAGAAAATAGATTAGTGGTGGCCTAGAGCTACAGGGGTGGGGAATGGGGGGTAACTACTAATGGGCATGGAGTTTTTTTGGGGGGGTAAAGGAAAATGTTCTAAATTTAGATTGGGGTGATGGTTTCATGATTATGTGATTATATAGAAAACCACTGAACTGTAATCTCTAAATGAGTAAATTTTATGGTATACAAATTATATTTTCATAAGGCAGTAAAAATTTTTTAATTTAAGCATCTAAGACCACTCCAGGTTTTGGTATATACAGTGGCACCAGAAACAAGGGGGAATGTGAAACAGAGTTAGGTGCATAGACCTGGAGCTCGGAAATGGTCAAAGCCAGATGAATGGATGGGACAGGCCAGTCCTCCCATCGGAAGGAAAATACAGAAACCAGTGACAGCTTTTTCTGCTGCCAAAGAGCTGACAGTTCTCTGTTATCAATGGACTAACATGTTGGTAAGAATGGGCTAAATTTGTCTTCTTTTGCTTTTGTTCTGCAGTTTTTGAGGAGCCGGAAGATCCAAGCAACCGGTCGTTTTTCTCTGAAATTATCTCTTCGATTTCGGATGTGAAGTTCAGCCACAGTGGGAGGTACATCATGACCAGGGACTATCTGACCGTTAAAGTCTGGGATCTCAACATGGAAAACCGCCCCATCGAGACTTACCAGGTACAGACCACCCTCCACCCATGGGTGTATCGCACACTTCCATTGTGGGCTTCCAAGTCAGCCTCTGCCCACAAGGGCTTATCACAACACAGAAAAATTAAAGTGGTATATCCTGTGGGAACCAGGGTATAGAGAAGTGAGATGACAAGCAGGGAATTGAGTGTACGGTGATGATACTGAGGGCCACCTGGGGAGAGAGGCTTTCCTAAAGAAGCAACCCTTCATCTGAGTCTTGACTCCATGAACTAGCCAGAAAAATTGTGTTCTTAGAATAGGGTGTTGAAAGGCCTGAACTCAAGAGGAACACGGTGTGTTCAGAAAGGAACTCTGCATCTGGAATATGGAACACAGGGGCAGAAAGAGCTTGGAGATGTAGGCTCTGGTAAAGTAGATTGTTATTTTGTCTTTAGTCTGAGTACAATGGAGAGCCATTAAAAAGTCTTACACAGGAAATGCCATTGTGAATTTTGTTTTTACCATGTGTTTTATAGATCAACTTGCCAAACGGATTGAAGGAATTTAGGGAGGAGGCAATAGTGGCATGCAGGTGGAGAAGGCGGGAGGATGGAGAGTCTGTGAGGTTTGCTAACTGATTGGGTGTGGAGGGAAGAGGAGTCAGGAAGGCTGTGTAGAGGTTTGTAGACTTACTGACAAAAAGAGACGGTATTGTTTAGAATGGTTGGCTGTTGTTGTTTTAAAGAGGAAGACTAGACTTTGAGGTAGAAAGGATTTGCAGAAGCTAATTCTAGGCAAGAGTACAATGGAAGCAAAGGTCAAGAGGCAGGAATAAACTAGTCTTATTTTAAAGATTTTTGGGTTAGATAAAAAGAAGTGGGGAAATTCTAGACAGAGAAATTTGGTTTACATATTTCTTCTTGAGATATAATGCGCATGCCATATTCACCTTTTCATAGTGTACAATACAGAGGGGTGGTCTGTGCCCAAAGTTGTGGGACTAACATTTTAAAATAAATATTCTGGTTGTGCTGGGGATGAGACAGAGAGAATAGGTATGAGGTTATTGCAACATTCTGGCAAGGGGTGTAAGTAACTTAGATGACAGTATTAGCAATGGAGGTGGTCAGAGTCTTGGAATATATCCAAGGTAAAACCAGTAGGATGGGATGTAAGAGAAAAAGAAGCACCCAGGATCACTCCCAAGATTTTTATGCTGAGCAAAGTTGAGTTGCATTTTATTTGGATGGGAAGTCAAGAGTTTGGCTTTGGACATTTTTAATTGGCTCAACATCCAGAAATAGCAAGTAGGCAGCTCAGTATGAGTCTGGATATATCTTGCCTAGAGAAAAACATTGGACACTTATGAGTATATTGAGGGTATTTAAAGCCTGAGAAAAGAAAGTGGATTTGGCAAGAGAGCTTGAGAAGAAGTGGCCGGGCAGGTAGGAGAAAAACAGAGGAATATCCTAGAAGCCAAGAGCAGAAACTGTCCTGAGGAGGGAGTCATCAGCTGCTGTTGCTGAATCAAGTAAGGACTGAGACATGACCCTTGGACTTAGTGATGTAGAGATTCTCGGGAACCTCCATGAAAGAGGTGTAGGTGGGTGATGGATGAATGTCTGATTGGAGTGGGTTCAGGACGGACTCTGAATAGAGGACGTGGACATAGTGAATACAGATAACTCTTCCTAGAAATTTTATTCTGAAGGGGAACAGAAACATGGGATACAAGCTTAAAGAAGTTTTATGCCAAGAAGAAGCAGCCAATGGAGAGGGAGACAGCTAAAGGAACAAAGTCCTTGAGGGAAGAGAGTCCATTGCAAAATTGGCCTTAGAGGGGAAGATGGACAATTCTTCCATCAGAAAAAGAAGAGTGCAGTAGGCTTGTAAATTATGTGATGGAACTATAGACAGTTTCTTATGTCGATTTTCTCAGTAAAATACTCATGAGAGAGAGTGAATTGACTAGGGAAATGTAGGGTTACGCAGGGATCTACTTGAGGTTTATATTATTGATTTTAAGTGAGGCTACCTGTAGGATTGTGTATTCCTTCCCAAACACATTCACCTGCTTGGTACAGGTAGGGAAGGGCAGGAAGTTAGATTTAACTGGTGATGGGGTTTTTGCCAAAATGAGTACAGTGGAAAGGGAAAGAAAAGCAGGTTTGTTGAAGGTTATAGCAAGAGAGTGGTTATAATGATGGACCACTGAATCGAAGGCAGTAAGGAGGAAAATAGATCAAATCAGGAAGTAGCAATAGAGCAATAGTTGTTAAAGGAATGACCAAGGACAAAACTAATTGAAAATGATGAGGCTGAGAGACCAGAATGATGGCGGGAATAGTGATGGAGAGGGCTCAGGGAACTTCTGGGGACTGTAAAAAGGATGGGTATCAGGGAGTTGAGTTTGCTGGCATGGCATCAAGGGGCTGAGGACTCCAGGCAGTAACAATTGTGTGGAGCACCAATGAGCCCACCCTGTCCCAGGAGAGCAAAAGTCCTGCCACCACGTGAGCAGCTTTAGGAAAAGCAGATCTTTCCATCAGAAGGAAGAGGAAAAGTTCAGAGAGGAGGTTGAGGACGTCCAGGACTTTAATGACTGACTGTGAGTTCCAGAGGGTGCTGTAACAGGTCTGAGGGCCAGAATTCAAGACCACGTATGGAGTTGAGATAGTTTGTTTACCCCTGTGGTTCAAAGAGCATCCCCTTGTATATTGGGGGTCTGTCCCCCAAAGCATACCCAGACTTAAAGGTCCAACTCCACAGCACCTGCCCCAAGCTCACACAGTCCTCCATCTTCAGTCCATAGGTGTCCTCTTCCAGCTGCACAGACAAACCATCTCGTGTTTCAAACTTTAACACAAAAAAAGAGACAGACGGCAGTGGGAACTGGAGCATGGGTGGTATTGACAGAGCCTTGATTAGAGAGAAGTAGATTCAGGTGACACAGTGGTGAGAGCAATTAGTACTTTCATTTTAGGGAAAGGCTTTTAGAACACAGCTAGCTAGCAGTGACATGGAGTAGCCAGCATTTTAAGTTCATGGTTTTCAAACCATGTTTAGCTAAGAAGTAGATATTTTAGCACACGCATTGAAATGAAATATCAGGTATTGAAATGAAATATCACTACATTTATATACTATATCAAAGATGGTAAATAAATGCTGATTGAGTGTCTAGAACACTGTTGAAAAAAGACTGTGAGGCCTGCTCCAATGGGAAAGAATCCCATCATCAATTACTAAGGCTTGCCCTGAGCTGTAGACTTAAATATGATGAGCTATTTTCCTTCTTCTATTTCCTATAGAAGAAGGAATGGCAACTTGTGAGCCAAATCCAGCCCTGCCTCTGTTTATGTGAATAAAGTTTTATTGAAACACAGCCACACCCAATTATTTTGCATATTGTCTATGGCTGCTTTCATGCTACAAAGTTGAGTGGTTGTGACAGAGGCCATGTGGCCCACAAAACCTAAAATATTTACTATCTGACCCTTTACTGGAAAAATGTGTCAACCCCTGAAATATAAGAACAAACCAATAGAGTCTGCTCTTGGTAGGCCTCATGAGCAGACCATTAACTACCAACATCAGACTTCCACAAGTACATAATTGAGAACCCCTGGGTTGGAAGACTCAGTGTCAAAAAGGTCAAACACAATCTAATACGAACACAGAAGCAAAATAATATTTGGAACATGAAGCATCAAATAAGATGAATTTTAAGTTCTCTCTTGCTCTGTTTTCTAAGTGTTTCTCGTGTATATATCTTACCTTATTCTTGCCTCTGATGGAGAAAGATGCATCTTGTTTGCCTAAGATTTTTAACAACAGAACATAAATGCAACATACCTTCACAGTAGCTCTTCTTTTCCTTCAGATGCGTTCAGTTGGAGGCAGGCAGGAGCTTCCCAGAATATCGATGCTGGGAGGAGAAAATACTAGTTCAGACAAGGTTTTCCCCTGAATCCTTCCTGACTTTTATCCTTCAGGAATTACTTATGGATAGTCACAGGGATGTAAAGGAAATACAGTCAAGAATATTGTAACAACTGTATATGGTGTCAAGTGGGTACTAGACTTATTGTGGTGATCACTTAATAAGTTATAGAAATGTCTAAGCATGGTGTTGTGCCTGAAACTAATATAATATTGCATGTCAACTGTAACAGAAAAATAAATTTAAAAATTATTTATTGAGTTACTGGTGGTGTGGTTCCCACTAATGGGCCCATACTTCCAAAGCTCACACATTCTGACACTTATTACTCACCTGTGCTGTTTCTATAAGCAAAGATGAAGGATCAGGAAAGGTTCATCAAGGAGAGGACAGCCTGGGTCAGGCCTGAAAAGGCATACCACCACCCTCTTTCTAAACCTTACTGCTCTATCCCCTCCCTCCCTATCAAAATCCTAATTATTTTAAAGATAATAGTTGATACTTCTCCTACCAAAGGAAGGAAGTTGGATGATCATAGTGAAGCAGAAGAATGTGGGACTCTGAGAAGTGCGGCATTATACAAACCTGCTTAACCAACGGTTTGCAAAACTTATTTCCCCTTCTTAGAATACTCACATCTGTGCCTGGCCTTAAAAGTGCTCCATACTAGCCCTAACCTGTTTGGCTCAGTGGATAGAGCGTCGACCTGCGGACTCAAGGGTCCCAGGTTCGATTCCGGTCAAGGGCATGTACCTTGGTTGCGGGCACATCCCCAGTAGGGGGTGTGCAGGAGGCAGCTGATCAATGTTTCTCTCTCATCGATGTTTCTAACTCTCTATCCCTCTCCCTTCCTCTCTGTAAAAAATCAATAAAATATATTTTTTTTAAAAAAAGTGCTCCACACCAGATAAGAGGGAGGAGGAGAGAAGGCTAAGGATCTGTTTGCTCATCTTTCCCTTCCAACAGCAGGAGAGCTGGAGCGTCGGGATCAGAGATTTGGCTCCCATTGCCCCCTGGATTCACTCCCAGCCCAACTCCTCTCCCTCCCCCACGCATTACACACAGCCCAGAAGCAAGTCAGTGATAAAGGCCAGAATCAACACTTTCTAGAAACGAGACCCGTGCTGAGTCCCTTAACTCCACCATCACCTTCTTCATAGAAAGTAGTCTGTGGTGCTTTGAGGGGATGGGGAGAACAGTCAAGACACGGAGTAAACAGAAGTATGGCCCAGAAACCAATCCTGTCTGCCACCTGTTGTTATAAATAAAGTTTTACTGGAACACTTCCCTGCTCATTTGTTTATGTATTGCCTGTGGCTACTTTTGCATTACAGGGGCAGAGCTGAGTGGTTGCAACAGAGGCCATGTGGCCCTTTATATTGTAAAAAGTTTGCCAGCCCCTGGTCAATGCCCAGAATCAGCCCTCTTTTGCCCTCAGACGCTCTTCTGGTTTTATGCTCAAAAATTCCTAATCACTCAAGATTTTCATCCCTACAAACAGAAATGGCCTTCTGAGCCACTTCAATATGCCCCAAAGGTGGCAGAAAAGGAGAGAATTAGTAAATTTGCAGCAGAGATACCAAGTACAGAACACAAGTCTCATTCTTGCATTCCCCTTCTCCACCCACAGCCCTGAAGCAGGCACCCTGGCAAGGCCCAGAACCTTGGGGGAACAACAGAGCCACGGTGGAGGAAATTGATTTGCAGTTAGCAATACACTGTCCCATGACTCAGCGAGCTTGTAAATACCCAAAACGTGTAAGGCCACATGGGATGAATCTTACCTCAGTCCTTTGTCCAATACTCAGCACACAGCTGAGCCTGAGGTCAGCATCCCGCTGGACTCTGGACTCAGGAGAGGCGAGGGGCCCAGGCTGCAAGACAAGGGAGAATGAACCATCACTCTAAATCTGAACACAGTGACACATGCTTTTCCTACCATCCTTCTACCTTCACCCAGGTCTGTCTCCCGTTGGCCTCATCTCAGGTCATTATCGCAGCTTCTGTGTGGGACTGAGACCCCGTGTGCTATAGTACGGTGAGGCTAATGAGCAGAGCGAGTGGGGGAGG